TTTTTTTTCTTCTTAAAACAGTTATGGAGATCGTTCGCCCCGTTCTGTTCCTGCTCGTATTTTTGGTATCGCATGGACCCTGACTGGTCTAGTTATTATCTCAATTCTGATTGGTACAATTTGTTCAGCGCTCACGTCTTCAACTATATCATATCCCGTTACCCTCTATGGCACAAAGGTGAGTTATTTCGAAGACTTTCACAACACGTTTCTAACTATTCTTTGCGCTTTGGATGGAATCTCACCAGCAAATTTTTCTGCAACAAAATCAATGGATTTGCATAATAATGACAAACAATGCACTGATTATCAAATGGTTAATTCAGTATTGGTGAATAAATGGACTTATTGGTCGATTTAGAACAGACCGACTAATTGATTGGCCAACTGACTGATTGATGGATTAATTGATCGATCGATAGATGGAACTAGTAAATGACTGATTGGTCGTCTCATTGCTTGCTCCTGAAAACTCACAAAAGTGTCTTCAATCTCTTCTTTGATTTTTTAATTAGCAGAGCAATGGGTAAAAATTGTATTACTTTGGACGTTTGAGATTTCAGTTTGCTTGGTATATGGATATTTATGTCATTTCAGATTGGAGCCATTCAAAACTCTACAGAGCAACGCGTCGGCACTTTGAAAAACGCAAGAGTAAATGAAGGTAATACTGAATTTTCCTTTTTTTCTGTGATTACTACTATACTTTTCTAACCAAAAGGAAACAATTAATCTGCATGTAGCCAGCGTGTTTTCCTGGATACATTAATGTGGGAAAGAAAAAGCACTTTGTTTGTTAGGTAGGTCCCTTCGTCCAAGATTGAAGGTGTCAAAAAAAATTTAAAAAATGTGTTTTATGAGAAAAAAAATTATTTTAGGGCAGCTGGCATGACAAGGATAATTTTCAGCCTCTTATCATTCACTGCCACTGCTTAGGTTGTCATTCATTTCTTCTCCGACTTTGTTATTGGGGACGTGATGGCTAACAACCCAATTGATATCATCAATATCAAAATATCAAACAAGTTGATCTTTGATATGCAAGCTTGTGTCGCTGGTTATTTAAACTACCAAGTCTAAGTAAACTTACTTGAAAATGTAAACTTGCAGCAAAAAAAAAATGCTATTGGAAATGCGTTTTGCTCAGTAAAGCCGTGAGAAAACTTGTTTATAATCATAAGTCTTAACTAACCTATAACTGAATCACAGATAAGAAATATACCAACTTTGAGGACATCCGTTCAGCGCTGGAGGATGGAAAAGTTGAAGGTGCTCTTTTAGACACATATGTTGCGGCGGAACACAAAGACGAGCTCTTCAACGACAAAATATTCGTCAAAGAGATTCTGGACAGACCATTTGGTTATGGAGTTGTTCTATCAGGAGCAGCAGTAAATGTGGAACAGAGATGTCGCGATTACATCAGCATGCAAATAAGCAAAATAATCCAAATCATCCAGAACACAACAGAAACGCTTGATGTGAGTGTCTCATTTTCTTTAAAAAAACGCTTTCGTTTGAACACATGGAGTATGCAGAGGTTTTTGAGGTACTTTTTTGGGTTAGAAGAGAAAACTTCAATTAATTGTCGTAAAAATAAAGCAAAGAAATCACAACGTTCAATCAGATAAAAGGAGAATATCGAAAGAACCAATAAGAACGCACGGTAAAACCAATCAAACTGTCTGAAGGGCATGAAAACGCGAGCGATCAACTCAGAAAAGCTGGTTTTATTTTCTGAAGCATCAACACCGTGTAGTACTTTGTGTAATATCAGAAACAGTTCATCAGTGCCTGTTTTTCCTAATTACACTTAAAACTTTTCTTGGTTGAATTAGCTTTTTTATTACTTTTATAGAACCACTTTTTATCTTTTTGAGATTGGAAAGCGCCTTTGAACATTAGGAAATTGGTGCTAAATAGATATCTTTATCCGGAACGAGTTTTTAAGCACTCTTTGCAACTCTATGTTTCTAAGGTAATAATAAGCTTCCAGTATTGATAGACATTACCTGACTGACATTACCGACCACCCTCTATCATTAAAGAAATCGTATAATCTCAAGCTATTCGTGGCACAGTCTACCCACCAAAGGTACATTGCAGACAGCCCTGTGCACTTTGAAAACGCTGTTCGTTCTTTTTTTTACTTTAGCCAGCTTCATCAGATGAGGATGTGGAACAAAGCACGGGCCTGTTTGATGGTTCTTCTGATATGTTCGTTATCGCGATGGCTTCTTTGATTGGAATGTTAGCAGTTGCTGTCATCGTTGGACTTATTTATCATTATAAGATATTTGTTCCTCTGGAAAACAAAGGTAAAGGTATTGCTTTGTTTAATGGAAACCAAATAGGGTGTCTGGTTTGGTTTATTTCAAATGTGAACATAGATTACACATAAAGGCAAATGCTTGGGAAGAATTGCGAGATCGATTTCTCTTGGCCGCAATTTTGGATTGGTGTGACCGAGATGACCTGGGTTGGGTAAAAAAAATGTAATCTAGCGAGGCAATTGATAGAAAGACAGACTGGCAGCTGGAAGGAGATGACGAGGTTTGTTTTCCGTCTAATACTTGTCAGCTTATCCTTCCTCTCCCTTTGCAAATCCAAGATGGGAACTATTAGCTACCAGAAAACTAACTCGCTCAAAAACGGGAGCAATCGTCGGGAGAATTTGCTAGATTTGACTCTTTACTTTTGGAGGCTGAGCTTTTAAAAAAATAGCCTGAGTTTTAAGATTTATGGTAGAGCAATCAATCGTGAAATTTTTGTTATTTCAGTTGCAAGACTCAAATCATCTACATCACATTTTGCTTCGAAAGAAGCTTTTGTTGAAGAAATGAGCGAATTCGTGAACTCGTTCTATTCTGAGCTGTTCATCAAGATAAATGCGAGCAAAGAGAAGAACAAACAAGCAATCAAGAAGATCAAAGAAAAACATACAGTTGGAAAGAAACTTGGAGGATCTGCAAAGAGCTCGAAAATTCCAGGCCTGGTGATAAAAAATCCAGTCTATTCAAGCTCGTCGGCTGAAAACTCCTTCGACATGAAAAGAAAACTCATCGGGCCCAGCTCGAAAAAAAGCCTTCCCGATCAGACTCAACAATGGCATTCCCCAAATTCTGCAGCTTTGAATCGTGCTGAAGTATTGTTGAGGTCAAAAAGCTCATCCAATAATCACCGTCAACGTGATATGGGTTGTGAGACAACTTTGCATAACAGTAAAGCGAAGAAAAGTTATACGAAGCCCAGAAAGCTTAATATTGTAAAATAGCTAATGTCTTGCGTGCTGCGAATCGGGGAGAGAGAAGGTAAACCGAGGAACTTTAAAACTAGACATGTTCATAATGGTTATATTGCCCAAATGCATTTGCAAAATCATCCCAAAAAATGTTCTTTCGAATTCCCCAAAATGTTACATTTTGTGAAAAATCCTTTTCGGAATTGCTTTCCCTGTATTTTCCAGCCTACATTGCAGACCTCCTTCTTCAAAGTTACAATCTTTTTCCACAATATTTCCTATTTGGCATTTCCTTTTTGATAAGGAAATTACACATTTGAACAGAGACATTTCGTCACTTACTCAATTTGGAGACCATTCACCTTCACTGTCATTTATAAAAACTCTGCAGGAAGTAGAATTTAACTTCGTAACCACTGATCAGAACAACAAAATATGAATTTTCTTCATATACTCACCCGCTAAAAATTTTGCAGATAATTTCAATTTCTTTATAAGTTGATTAATAAGGTATTCCTTTAAGAATAACTATCGAGATATCTTCTTCGAAGAGCGGCAAGGAATTACACCATTTCATAGTTTAATCTTATTTTGCATATATTTATCTTTTCATATCATTAGCTTTTATACTTATTTATATTGATGCAGAACTTCTATATTTCCATAGTTTTATTTATTTTGCACTTTGACTTTGTATATTCGGAATATGTTGTTATAATTTGAATTTTAGATAGAGGGCCACAAGTTTACTAGTTTCTGTAACTATTCCGTGCTACCCTCTTGAAATAAAGTGTATTATATTATATTTAATCTTTGAAATATTGCCTAGTGAATTTCCATACTTTTATCCTTTCAAGGTATACCCCCTGCCCCCTTTACCCCACTCTCCTTACTCTTAGCAGGAAAGTATGTCGTTATTAAACAGTCGAACTATGTAATTTCGTACCACATCTTAAGGACGCGATAAATTTTAATGGTTTTGTTTCTCGGAGAAGTAAAAGGCAAATATAGAAAAGAAAACAATAACTCTGTTTATTGCCAAGAAAAAATTAAATCCTGCGATAAACCCTGTAAACATTAATGCATTGTTAAAACTGAAACTTACCATCCTAGTGGAGGCGAATGGTCTCAAAATTGAGGTAAATCATTGGAAAGAAATTACTCCCAAAATTTCTTCTGTAGAAATAATTCAGCTCTTCAATTTAGATGACCCGAAATCAAGGTTTTAATGGTGTACTACAAATAGTCTCTCCTGCCTTATGTAGCAAAGTCAACCTCAATTAAGGTCTCTGTGGAAACGAGAAACGCTTTTGATTTGCCAATGTTTTGGCATATGCCGGAGTTATGCGACTTAAGTGTGAGTAGAAAAAGGAAGTTGTGTGATGACGTCACTGAGCTATTTCTATTTTTGGAGTTTAAAGAAAAAATAATGAATAAAACTATATGTTAACATCAAAAAATTATGAGATGTTCTTACTTTCCATTGCTGTTTTGCAGAGCACAGCTGGGAAGGTTTTTACATTTCTTTCTTATTCCTGAGCGCAGTCGTTTAAGTTTGCGAATAATCTTAAGGAGCAGACTAGAAGATATGATTGTAATTTAGAGAACATCAGCAAATTTCAACATGCTATAAGCTTATTAATTAAAAAAAACGTCAGCATCCCTGAGCGATCACGCAACAAAAACGTGCTATATTCACCTGTAGCAGGTGTTCAAAAATATGTTCCGTCGTTAACAGAGTCGAATTACGAAGAGAAAGGAAATATAATGTACATGAACGAAACACACAATTAACTATAATTGCCCACTTCGACTAGGAAAAAAGATCCAAAGAGATGATCTCCGATAAGCTGCAAACCGCTTTTAACAGAGCAGTAGTCCCAGAGATGAACTGTTATTTTTGTTATCAGCCGTTGTTTTCTTTTTACCGAGGAACTGTAGAAATAATGAGGCATGGGGTTATACTGCGCTTGGTCCTCGAGTCGCGCTTGCGCCACTTACGATTCTGACTGATCTGTAACATCACGTGGGACACAAACATAAACAAACAAACAAAAAAACACTTCAGCTTCGAGCATATCGAGTGTGGTATGCGCGAAGAAACCTATCGGCAAGCAGCATTTGACCTGTCATTATCACCATCACAAAGCCTCGTGGTGTTTATTATTTGCGTTTCAGTGGCTCCTAGAATGATCTCTCACTTTGAAAGAAACGTTTTAATATGTCTCATCTGGAGTTGCTTGAGAAATGCCTCCAACAACTAATTGTGAAACGGATGTCTCGTGTCAATAGGGAGTGTCAGACAAGCAATAGTTACAGTGTGAACTCCCTTGAGACACGAGAGCATCACTTTTTTTGCTCGATCATCCGAATGGCCCTGAGTATTCTAGGTAATTTCCAAACAATAAGGACGAGTACAATCAATGGAGATTCGAACGAGGAGAACTTTGCAATCACCAGATCGTCTCCATATCTGAGGCGATCGGAAAAATTAGGGCAATCATGTGAAAACCAGGGTTTAGTAGACCACGCTCAAGTTAAGACAAAAAATACAAACTCGTTTCATGAAAGAGAGAATATATTCATACTTTGTGACAGTATTTCCACTCATGGGAAAAATTGGAAAGAATATTTCTAGACGAAATGTTCCACTTTGAATGAATAATTTCCTTATCGAAAAAGAAATACCAAATAGGAAATGTCATGGACACAGATTGTGACTTAGAAGAGAGAGCTCTGCAATTTAGGCTGAAAAATACAGGGAGAGCAATTCAGAAAAGGTTTTTTCACGAAAATGCATTTATAAAAACATTTTGGGGAATTCGAAAGCACTTTTTTTGGGATGATTTTGCAAATGCATTGGGGTAATATCACCATCATAAATATTTCCAGTTCTAAAGTTCCTTGGTTCATGTTCTCTTTCCCCGATAGACAGGACGTAAGACTTGAGCTATTTTGCAACATTAAGCTTTCGGGGCTTCGTATAACTTTTCGTCGCTTTACTGTTATGCAAAGTTGTCTCACACCCCATACCACGTTTACGGTGATCACTGGATGAGCTTTTTGACCTCAACAATACTTCAACACGATTCAGTGCTGCAGAATTTGGAGAATTCCATTGTTGAGTCTGATCGAGAAGGCTTTTTGTCGAGCTGGGCCTGATGAGTTTTCTTTTCAAGTCGAAGGAGTTTTCAGCAGACGAGCTTGAATAGGCTGGATTTTTTATCACCAGGCCAGGAATTTTCGAGCTCTTTGCAGATCCTCCAAGTTTCTTTCCAACTCTTTCTTTGATTTTTTCAATTGCTTCTTTGTTCTTCTCTTTGCTCGCATTTATCTTGATGGACAGCTCAGAATAAAACGAGTTCACGAATTCTCTCATTTCTTCAACAAAGGCTTCTTTCGAAGCAAAATGTGATGTGGAAGACTTGAGTCTTGCAACTGAAATGATGAAATATTCACTATTGATTACTTTTACTATGACTCGTAAAAGCTCAGCCTCGAATAGTAAATAGTCAAATTGAGCAAATTCTCCTGACGATGGACGCGTTTTTGCGCGAGGTAGTTGTTCTGGTAGCTAATAGTCCCTATCGCAAAGGGAGAGGAAAGATAAGCTGACAAATAGTAGAAGGGAAAAAACCTCATGATCTCCTTCTACATGCTAGTCTGTCTTTCTTTGAATTCCTTCGCTAGATTTCTTTTTTTCTTACCCAACCCGTCATCTCTGTCACACCAATCCAAAATGGCGACCAAGAGCAATCGATCTCGCAATTCTACCCAAGCATTTGCCTTTATATATATATTATATTTTCACATTTGAAATAAACCAAACCAGACACCCTATTCGGTTTCCCTTAAACAAAGCAATAACTTTACCTTTGTTTTCCTGAGGAACGAATATCTTATACTGATAAATAAGTCCAACGATGACAGCAACTCCTAACATTCCAATCAAAGAAGCCATCGCGATAAGGAACGTATCAGAAGAACCATCAAACAGGCCCGTGCTCTGCTCCACATCCTCATCTGATGGAGCTGGCTAAAGTTCGGAAAAAAAAAAAAAAAGAACGAGCAGTGTTTTCAAAGTGCACAGAGATGTCTACAATGTACCTTTGGTGGGTAGGCTGTGCCACAATACTTTTAGTTCGGTGGATGGACTGTGCCACGAATAGCTTGGGATTATACAACTTCTTTAAGGATAGAGGGTGGACGGTAATGTCGGCTGTATCAATACTGCAAGCTTATTATTACTTTAGAAACATAGAGTTGCAAAGAGTACTTGAAAACTCGTTCCGGATAAAGATATCTATTTAACACCAGTATCCTGGCGCTTTCCAATCTCAAAAAGATTTTAAAATATGGTTAAAAAAAGTTACAAAAAAGCTTTTTCAATCAAAAATATTCAAGTGTACTTATAAAAACAGGCACTGAAGAACTGTTCCTGACATTATGTGACAAAGTACTACATGGTGTCGATGCTTCAAAGAAAAAAAATTATAAAACCGGCTTTTGTAAATTGTTCCCTCGCGTTTTCCCACCCTTCAGACAGTTTGATTGGTTTTGCGGTGCGTTGTTATTGGCTCTTACGATATTCTCCTTTTCTCTGATTGAACGTGGCGATTGCTTTGCATTATTTTACGACAATGAATTGAAATTTTCCTTTCCAACCGAAAAAAGTATCTCAAAAGCTATTGCAATACTCCATGTGCTCAAACAAAGGCGTTTTTTTAAGGAAATGAGACACTTACATCAAGCGTCTCAGTTGTGTTCTGGATGATATGGAATATTTTGCTTATTTGCATGCTGATGTAATCGCGACATCTCTGTTCCACATTCACTGCCGCTCCTGATAAAACAACTCCATAACCGAATGGTCTGTCCAGAATCTCCTTCACAAAGATTTTGTCGTTGAAGAGCTCGTCTTTGTGCTCTGCTGCAACATAGGTGTCTAAAAGAGCACCTTCAACTTTTCCATCCTCCAGGGCTGAACGGAGGTCCTCAAAGTTGGTATATTTCTTATCTATGATTCAGTTATAGGTAAGTTAAGACCTATGATTATGAAAAAGTTTTCGTACGGCTTTACTGATCCACACGCATTATGAATAGCGTTGTTTTTCTTTTTTTTGCTGCAAGTTTACATTTCCAAGTAAGTTTGCTTAGATTTGGTAGTTTAAATAACCGGCCGCACAAGCTTGCATCGCAAAGATCAACGTGTTTGATATTTTGATATTGATGATATCAATTATATTGTTTGCTATGACGTCCACAATAACAAAGCCGTAAAAGAAATAAGTAACTCACTAGACAGTTAGCAGTAAATGACACGAGGCTGAAAATTATCCTTATCATGTCAGCTGCCCTAAAAGAGAACTTTTTCTTACAAAAGATTCTTTTCAATTTTTTGACACCTCCAATCTTGGACGATGGAACTTGTCTAGCAAAAAAAAATACTTTTTCTTTTCTAAGTTAATATATCAAGGAAAAATCGCACGCTACGTGCAGATGAATTGTTTCCTTTTGGTTAAAAAATAAATAAATAAAAAAAGAAGAAGATAAGTTATCACAGAAAAAAGGAAAATTCAAATGCTACCTTCGTTTACTCTTGCGTTTTTCAAAACGCCGACGCGTTGCTCGGTAGAGTTTTGAATGGCTCCAACCTGAAATGACATAAATATATATCCACATACCAAGGAAACTGAAATCTCAAATCTCAAACGTTCAAAGTAATACAATGATAGTCATGTTGCTGCTAAATATAAAATCAAACAAGAGATTAAGGACGCTTTCGTGAGTGTCCAGGAGCAAGCAATAAGAAAACCAATCACTCATTTACAATTTCTATCTACTGATCGATCAATTAATCCATCAATTAGTCAGTTGGCTAATCAATCAATCAGTCTATTTGATTAATCAGTGCGTCGTTTGTGATGCAAATCCATTTGTGATATTGAACTTGCCGAATTTGTTGGTGAAATTCCATCCAAAGCGCAAGGAATAGTTAGAAAAGTGTTGTGACAGTCTTCGAAATAACTCACCTTTGTGCCATAGAGGGTGACGGGATACGATATAGTAGAAGACGTGAGTGCTGAACATATTGCACCAATCAGAACTGAGATAATAACAAGACCAGTAAGGGTCCATGCGATACCAAAAATACGAGCAGGAACAGAACGGGGCGAGCGATCTCCATAACTGATTTAAGAAAAAAAAAGAAACAAACAAGTGATACAGGTCCTTAACCAAGGTAATGTGACTAATAGTTATTTTTTCGTGCTGTTCTCACCCGACAGTTGTCATGGAGATAAATGACCACCAGAATCCTTCACCGACGCCTTTGCTAAAAGAGGCTGGAAATTCATCCGGGTTTTGTTTCATATCCTGTTCAAAATTATTACGTGAAAAAAAAGTTTAAGAGAATTGTTTATACTTCTAATAAACTACCGCTTCTGATCTGAGCGAGGCTTGACAATGTCATTTCAAGGAATTGTCGAATAAGAAAAAAGACACGATTTCAGACAGAAGAAAAGAAAGAAACTCATGCGTATTTTCATAAGGCTTATGCCTTAAACGATGGACGATTCGGGGAAAGAGAAGTAAAAACTTTTTATATTCCCAACAAATTTAAACAACATTGCCATCACCGCACCGATTTACGCCTCTACGGGGAATGAGCTCACGCCTATTTGATGCTGATTTGGTACAAAGCCGCTTGTTTAGAGCGTGGCAAATACTAATGGGGTTTTGAACTAGATAAATCCAATTTCACGTTTTGCAACAAGTAAATAGTTCTTATGGTGCTCACCAGAACCCATATGATAAACCCTGCGATGAATGCCATACAGCCTGAAAGCACTACCAACGGAGCGCAATCCAACACAGCACTTATCATGTTCCGGGCCGCTGTTCCAGGCATCCTCTTAACAGCAATAAACGCCAGTCCTGGAGACTCCACAAGGTTTATGTAGACATTACTTCCCATGAACCTTGTGATGTATTCGTTGCCATAAATCGGGAAACTTATCTGTGGGATATTATCAATGTCAGCTAGAACTCCTAAGAGACTTTTCTTGAAGGCATCTTTTCCTTTTCCGTTTGAATCAGTTTTAACTATAGTACGACCGTATTCGGGACAGGTGTCGCAAGCCACTTGAATCATGTCAATGACAATGTTACTCAATATTCCACCAAACTTCCTGTCCTGTTTGTTCACTCTTAGATATGGAGAAGCTGACCAGTAGTTAGTGTAAAGGATTTTCGGACAGCGACATGTTTCTAAAAGAGAAGGGAAAGAGGAAAAAAAGAAGAAAAAAATTCCATTTTTTTTTTATCGGAAGGACAAAAATCAATACCCACTGTCCTAACCTCCCCCTCACCCCTCCGTCAACGAGAGAACCAAATCACGACATCATATAAGGAAGCGGTCTGCATTGCTTATGTTCAGGAGGACGGGGCCTTAGGATTTTGTTTGTGTCACGATATAATTTACCTTGTCCCCAGTAAGGCTCTGTAATATGCTCATGAACCCCCTTAGTGGCAGTTAATTGGCAGTAAATTTCAAATAATCTTCTAAAAACATTTTACAGTGAGGCTGTTATCATTCTTCTCTCCTGGTATTTCTCTTTCGCATCAAACTTACCACCGTAAACATAATCGCTATACGGGCCCATGCCCTTTTGAGTGAACGCCGCCACTTTAATTTCGTAAATTGAGTAGGTTTGAACTTTCAGAAATATGAAGAGATCCGTTGATTTTGCCATGGCTGTTTCCTCCTCCGTTGGAAGAACTTCCTTTTCAGCCGTTACAATTCTTCGATATTTTATAGAATATCCTATGAGAAGACCACCCACATAACCAAAAGGCACAGGACTCCAGGTGACTTTAATGAATTCTGCAGCTTTTAGTCTTTCAGCAGCCACGCTTTGAGGAGGCTTGCTGGGCACTGAGGATAAGAAAAAAAGCTCCTGACAAAACCGTAGGTTGACAAGATTTCAGAGCCTTAGCGAAAGACTCTGATGAAATGTGCCAGACTTCTTCTAAAGATCTAGCTGGCTCGGAAGCACTCAGCCTATTTCAAGTCTTAAAAATATTATGCATCACGCTATTCTTCCGCGCGGCTATTAATCAATGATATTTGAAGCCTACACTAAGCGTCCTTCATCACATTTTTATGTTCATGATTGGTTCATCTTCTATTAACGAAGCTTGTGAAGATATTAAAGAGGATGATTATTTATAAATTTTTTATGAGCCATCCTTGAAGCCAGGCCTTCAAAAACCTTTACACTGTCTTCCATATATTTCTTGATACGTTAGCCTTATAATTTGTTGTTAAACCAGTCAATTTCTCCTTTAAGTTATGTTTCCTTCTTCGTATTAACTCCCTAAGTGGGAATACACTGCAAGGAGACGGTTGTAACTCCCGGAGATAAAAGAGTTAACTGTATATGGAGGAGGGCATAAACTCACCATCACCAAACGTATAAGCGATGTCAGAATGCTCTTTGCCACAGCCTTTTGATGTTCTGGCGCAAAGCACAACTTTGTACCGTGTGAAATATTCCAGATCTTTTAAAACTATTTCATATTCGTCTACACCTAGCGTCTTGCTCACCCAAGGCGATGACCCATCATCCATTGCGTATCTCACCTCGTAGCCGAGAAGTATTCCATGCACATAGACTTGGCTGATTTGTTCCCAGGAAACACGGATTGAACTCTCGCTTGTAGATTTAATGACGCTATTGGGAGGCGGCTCACTTGGTACTGGGTAGAGAAGATTTATTTAGCTGATTAAAGAAAAACGTAACTCAGCGTCATTAGAGATGAGGTCTACTCTCTGGCACAACTATTGTGATCCGTCCAACCTGAATGGTTTAGTTTCGGCAAAGCCACATCTACATGGTGGCTCTTATTTCGATTTTGAAATTTATTTCAATTTTAAAACTTAGGGTGTTTATTACGGTGGGGAAAAAAAGAAAGTCATGAACAAATTCAGCCCACCGTGGCAACCCTTTTAGCTCTAAAAGTAATTAACTCGCTATTTCTTCACATACTTAACAACATACATACAAAAAATGTTGTACAAACAAATGTAAAGGATAATTACAAACTTACCAACAAAAGGGCGTCATCTTAATATAACACCCAGTACTCTAAGCTGATTTTTATAGATTTACGGGGCCTGCTAGCGGGAGGCCTGGCACAGAAACTGAAAGGTTTCTCGTCATATTTCAAACTCACCGTCTTCCTGAGTGCTGAGAGAGACTGCCTTACTAGACACTCCATTTCCGCTGCTTGTAAACGCATACACCCGGATGGTGTAGTTAGTAAACTTTTTCAAATCCTCAAGCGCTGCTTCTGAGGGATTGGGAGGTAATGATTTCATAATATCTGGTTGGAATTTTTGATTGATTTCTTTGTACACTATAACATAGCCAAGCAGTGGAGCAGAAG